ACAGAAGAGTTATGCGGACAGGCGTCCGGTCCGAACTTGAGTTCCAGGTCAGTGATTTTGTGCTCCTGAAGTTCTCTCCTTGGAAGGGAGTGATCCGATTCAGGAAGAGGGGCAAGTTGGGGCCCCGATATATCGGACCATTTCGGGTAGTCGCGAGGGTAGGCAGGGTAGCCTATCGCTTGGATTTGCCAGCAGAGTTGGGGCAGATTCACGACACTTTCCATGTGTCGCAATTGCGGAAGTGTATAGCTGATGAGTCGGCAGTGGTTCCATTAGATGATATTCAGGTGGATGCGAGCCTGAATTATGCTGAGAGACCAGTGGCCATCAGAGATCGGAAAATCAAAGTTCTGAGGAACAAGGAGGTACCTTTGGTCTTGGTTCAATGGCAGCATCGGAAGGGGTTCGAGATGACGTGGGAACCGGAGCGTGAGACGCGAGAGCAACATTCGGAGTTATTTGCAGAGTGAGACTTCGAGGGCGAAGTCTAGTTCTAGTGGGAGAGAATTGTAACAGCCTGGAATTTTCAGGTATTTATTTTAGATTTATTTGTGGAATTGTGAGTGGACTCGGCGAGTTGGAGCTCAAACTCACCGAGTAGGATCGCGGATTTAGGCACGGGTTCGCGTCCGGACTCGGCGAGTCCACGCTGTGTGGTGAAACCCTAATTTCCGGGGATTGAGACCTATTTAAAGGGCCTTATGGCCGTCATTTGTGCTCACCCAACCCTTAAAGAGAAACCCTTGAGTGCTTGAACGTTTTGAGAGAGAAAGGAAGCATTCTTGACCCTTGTGTGTGTCATTTAGCAAAGAAGGAGAAGATTCTAGGCAAGAGGAAGCAAAGGAGGTTGCCATTCTGTGGATTTGAAGCTTAAATCATCAATCTAGAGGTATGATTTCGGATTACTTTTTGTTTTGTGAAGTATAATGGGATCTAGGGCTTCTTATGGACATTTATGGGATGATTTGATGCCAAATAGTTCCCTTCTTGTGTTGAGACTCTGGATCTGGATCCATAGAGGTCCAGAGAGCCTCACTCATCAAGCTTTATGTATAGCAATGGAGTTTATGACCTTGAGTTGTAGTATTTGAGACAAAAACATCATTTATGGTCATATAGAGATTGTATGTGCATCAAGATAGTGACTTTACGTGCTAAATAAGCTTGGAAGGACTGGATCTATGGGTTAATGGACTGGATCTGACCTTATGAGCAAGTTTGAGTCATTGCATGGCACAGACTCGCCGAGTCCGAAGAACAGACTCGGCGAGTAGTATGAATGTTGCCCGACCACAAAGCGAGTGGTCTTGCCGAGTTGGGGAGGGTTGACTCAGTGAGTCAGGGGGAAGTCAGAGTGGACAGGTGGACTGAGTCAAGCTGGACTCGCTGAGTTGTTCTTGAGACTCGATGAGTTGAGTCGTGGTGGCCCCACAACTCATGCCAGGTGGAACTCGTCGAGTTAGGAGGGTACTCGACGTGTTAAGGGAGGATTTCAGGGAAATCAGTGTATACGCTCAGATTCACCGAGTCGCTATTGTGCACTCGCCGAGTCCGGTCAAAGTTGACCGTTGACCAACGTTGACCTAAGTTGACTTATTAAGAGTATTCAACCTTAGTTGGGAGAGTGTTAATTAGAGATGTATTGTGATTTAGGAGGACTATAGCTTGGGAGATCGAGCACTAGTGATTTCAGGGTTCACGACTTACCGAGACATGTGAGGTGAGTCTTCTCACTATACTTTACCTTGAGTAGGTAACCAGAGTTATGTGATAGAGTATTTGTATGTTATGTATGTTATGAGTTGTACTGCATTATTTCTATGTGATTTATGTTGTGCATGTTTACAGAGTTAGAACCTGAGGGTTCACAAGGTTTGGGTGCACGGACCCACAGAGTTATAGCCTCGAGTGGCTAATATGTGTTATATATGGTATTTTGGGGAACTCACTAAGCTTTGTGCTTACAGTGTTTGATGTTATTGTTTCATGTACTAGTGACGACCACGGGAAGGCGCCGGCTTGATCCGTACACACACACACGGAGTTTATACATTTGTGATCTTGGGATTTTATATTTACTTGAATTGGATAATTAAATATGGTTGTTTTATGAATATTAAATGAAGTATGTTTTATGAAAATTTGAAAATTTTGTTTTGAAATTTACGGTGTTACACAATTAAACCATTTATCGCGAAATTAAAAGGTTTATCGATTGTACTTAGATGCTTAATATGTCAAAGTTGCTTACATGTAACTCGTATGTGGGCTAGTGATGTGGCAAAGAAAGTAAATCGGTCCAACAACCCTATTAATTGAAACACTCATTTGGACCTCTACTCACTTGTTTCTTACCCATTCGTGAAAACTCAAAATTTTCTTCATCCGACTGTTGCCATATTCAAGAACTTCTTCCAAATCGTCGACTACAAGGAATTGGTTCCAAGTTGCTCGTATCC